ATCTGGTCCCATGACTTCATGGCAAAGAGATGGGAAAACAGTGGAAACAGTGACAGACTTTATGTTTTTGGGCTCCAAAATCACTGCAGATGGCGACTGCAGCCATGAAATTAAAAGACTCTTGCTCCTTGGAAGAAAAGCTATGACAAACTTAGACAGTGTATTAAAAAGCAGAGACATTACTTTGCAGCAAAGGTCCGACTAGTAAAAGCTATGGTTTTTCCAGGAGTCATGTGTGGATGTGAGAGTTGGACCATAAAGAAGGCTGAGCATTGAAGAATTGATGCTTTAGAACTGTGGTGTTGGAGAAGACTCTTGAGAGTCCCTTGGACTGCAAGGAGATCAAACCGGTCAATCCTAAAGGAAATCAGTCATGAATATTCATTGGAAGGACTGATGCTAAAGCAGAAGCTCCTAACACTGGCTACCTGAGGCAAAGAGCCGACTCATTAGAAAAGACCCTGATGCTGGGAAAGAGGAGAAGGAGATAACAGAGGACAAGTTGGTTGGATGGCATCACCAACTCAATGGACATGAGTTTGAACAAACTCTGGAGGATGGTGAAGAACGGGGAAGCCTGGCATGCTGCAGTCCATGAGGTTGCAAGGAGTTGGACACGACTGAGTGACTGAACAACAGTGGCAGAATCCCATCTAAAGAAAAAGCCTCTCATCTCTCTGTTTTTCTGCCTTAGTGCCTTCTGAAAAGCTATGGAAGCCTGTTGAACCTAGAAGTCTGGAAAGTTAAAGTCCTAAGATGATTCTTCAAATAACTGGGGATACAGAACTGGTAAGGGCTTCCCTTGTGGCTCAGCAGTAAAGAACTCACATGCCAATGAAGGAGACACAGCTTCCATCCTTGGGGTCCAGAACAGCCCCTGGAGAAGGAAAAGGCAACCCACTCTAGAATTCTTGCCTGGGAAATCCCATGGACAGAGGGGTCTGGCAGGCATCATATAATCCATGGGGTTGCAAAGAGTTGGTCACGACTTAGCAATTAAACAACAAGAAATTGGTAGATAAATGCCTTAGCTCCTTTCCTCAGATAGATAATCCTGGGGACTATTCTGTCCACTTCTTACAAGTTCTGGAAGAATCAAGCCCCTACCACCTACAGCTGAACCCTCATTTATGTACACTTATATTGGCTTTTCTTCCTTCTGTGTCTTTCTGCATCAGTCCTTCCAATGAATTCCAATTCACCTCTGGGTGACTCCAAACCTAAACATTTGGTACCACTTCAAAAGTCCTATCTACCAATTAAAGACTGTCAGAGTGGATCAAAAACCAAAATCCAAATGTATGTTGGCTACAAGGAATCACATATGTTAAAGACACATATGTTAAATGACACATAACACAAATGTTAAATGCAAATGAGTGGAGAAAAATATACCAAGCTAACAGTAATCAAAACAAAGTGGGAGTAGCGATACTAATTTCAGATAGAGCTGACTTCAGAGCAAGGAAAGTTACCAGGGATAAAGATAAAGGGGTCGGTTCTACAAAATGACATATTAATCCTTAAATAATAGTTCTGATAGAAGTGCAAAGAGAAATAGATGAATGTATTATAATAGTTGGAGATTTCAACATCTTTTATCAGAAATGGACATTTCCAATGGGCAGAATATCAGTAATAACATAGCTGAACTAAACATCATTACTCAAATGGAAATAACTGACATCCATAGACTACTTCAACCAACAACAGCAGACTACACATTTTACTCAAGCACACATGGAACACTCACCAAGACAGACCATATTTTGGACCATAAAACACACCTTAACAAATTTAAAAGAACAGAAATCAAACAATGTCTGCTTCTCAGACCACAAAGGAATTAAACTAGAAATTAATGATAGAAAGATAATTGGAAAATACCAAAATATGTGGAGATTAAACAAAACATTTGTTTTAAGTAACACACTGGTCAAAGAAGAAATCTCAAGAGAAATTTTAAAATATTTTAACTAAATGAAAATAAAAACACTATCAAAATTAGGGGGAAGCAGTACTTTAAGGGAAGTTTACAGTTTTGAATGTATACATTAGAAAAAAGATAAAAATGAATAAGTTTCCACCTTCGGAAAATAGAAAAAGAAGAGCAAATCAAGCCAAGGGTAAGCAGAAGAAAAGTAATAATAATAATTAGAATAGAAATCAGTGAAATTGAAAATAGGAAATCAATAGATAAAATCAACAAAAATCAAATGCTAGTTTTTTGAAATGTGGCCCTAGAAGGTAAGCCTGCTCATATTATTAGAACTGAATCACTCACCGGTCACAGGCAACAAAGACATGACATGATTACTAGTGGTAAATGGGATGATGATAACTTATGGTATGCTGTGGCATTACCATTACTAAGATTTTTAGTCATAGTGGCTTGGGATGAGGTACTCGTAGAAAGAAAAGCAAGTATCATAATACTTGAACAATATGAGGTAAAGATTGTGGACCTGATTGGCTATGATTCACTGCTTTAGAAACTTTGAAGAAAGAGAATGTTAAGTTTAGGTCAGTCAACTAGCACTTTAAAGCCTATTATGAACATTAAAATGCCTTCCTGGCAGCAATTTAAAGAGACCCTAATATCTTGCAAGTGGAGAATAAACTACTGAAAATCAGACCCAGCATATAAATGTAAAGGTACCAGAATTGCAAAGGAAACTGAAGGCACAGCTTCAAAAGATCTCCTATGCTAAAATGAGGATGCTCACTGGGAGGGAGTGGGACCCTAATACATGAGATGGGGACATCTGGGAATATGCGCCTGAGAATCCTGAACTCCAGCATTCACTCAGTTCAGTCCAGTCGCTTAGTCGTGTCCGATTCCTTGCGACCCCATGAATCGCAGCACGCCAGGCCTCCCTGTCCATCACCAACTCCCAGAGTTTACTCAAATTCATGCCCATCGAGTCAGTGATGCCATCCAGCCATCTCATCCTCTGTCGTCCCCTTCTCCTCCTGCCCCCATCCCTCTCAGCAGCAGGGTCTTTTCCAATGAGTCAACTCTTCGCATGAGGTGGCCAAAGTATTGGAGTTTCAGCTTCGGTATCAGTCCTTCAAATGAACACCCAGGACTGATCTCCTTTAGGATGGACTGGTTGGATCTCCTTGCAGTCCAAGGGACTCTCAAGAGTCTTCTCCAACACCACAGTTCAAAAGCATCAATTTTCCGGCACTCAGCTTTCTTCACAGTCCAAATTTCACATCCATACATGACTACGGGAAAAACCATAGCCTTGACCAGACGGACCTTTGTTGGCAAAGTAATGTCTCTGCTTTTTAATATGCTATCTAGGTTGGTCATAACTTTCCTTCCAAGGAGTAAGCGTCTTTTAATTTCATAGCTGCAGTCACCATCTGCAGTGATTTTGGAGCCCCAGGATTCACTAGAACCTTTCAATTCAGCAAAAAGTTATCCTCTTCCCGCTGCTCGAGCAGAGCAGCCTCTCCTTGTCCAGAGGCCGTGCAAAGGCCTCAAAGAGGCAGATGTACAAGATGATGCCTGTCTCTCTCACGGTGTGCTCCCATCTCCTCTTATTGCCTCCTAACCAATAATTTTTATAAGATTAGGTCTCAGATAGCCTGGTGAGGAAATAAAGCCCATGTCCTAGGAATAAATATCATTCTGATCAAATTGTTGCAGGACCCAGCTAATATAGATTAGAAGGAACCAGTTGAACATGTACAGGAGTGGATCATCAGTTTTGAATAGTGGGCTTATCAGGAGTGGAATATAATGCTGGACAAGGGAGACTTTATTCATATTGAACACTCTCCCATGACACAGGACACCTGAAACCTGTCCTAATATGCTGCTGGGATGGACCTTTAAAGCTTGGACACAATTATGACTGACAGTAAATGAGGTAGAGGTGCCAAAGTTTTGGTAGAGTGTGGAGGAAAGGATCGGTAGACTCAGGAAGGTGGAAATGTCATAATGCATTTTATCACGAGATTGACAAACCTGCTAGTCGAGCGTGTTTCTAGGATGAGACGGAGCCCTTGTTGAGAAGTCCAGTGATAGCTGTTATGAGGGCTGACAGCAGAGGATGCTGCCATGGAACTAGATTCAGTGGTATAAAAGGAAATGGAAAGTTCCAGAATAGCAGAGTCCAAATGACGGCACTTCCTCATCAGATGCAAGATGAATATAATTGTCTTAAAAGACAACAAGACTGGAGTTGCAGCTAGGATTCCCTAACCCACAGGGATAACTTGATGGCTATTACCCATGGACTTCCTAGGGGCCAGACAGTGAGCTATACTCAAGCAGTAATAAATACATACTTGAGAACTGCTTGATTTGTATAATCAGACAAAAGTATTTCACCTGGACCATCTGCCTCCAGCAATCTTATTTAATTTCCTCTATCCATTAGCTTTTCCACTTTCCTGGAATACCAACTCATGCCTTCTCCTCCTCCCTCACACCTCCACATGTCCTTGCTTCCTGTTTCATTGAAGAAGTTGAAGCACTAGAAAGAAATCCTCCATAAACCCACCTGCATCTGTGCCCACATTGTAGAGCTTCTCCCCAAACTATGGAAGAAGTGCCTACCCAAGGCCAAACCCTTCCATGAGCACTAGTTCCCATCTTCTTTCACTCTCTCAGAGACTCAAGGATAATAATAATTTATGTTACTTGCACTACTCTCCCCTCTATCCTGTCATTAATGGTCCCCTCTTTACTGGATCTTTCTACTAAGCATACAAACATGCTGTTGCTTCTTTCATTTTTAGAAAATTCTCTATCCCACATCTTCCTACAATTACCACTCAATTTCTCTCACTTCTTCATAGAAAAACTCCTTGAAAGAGTTGTCAATTCTTACTGTCTCCAATTTCTATCATCTGTTTTTCCCATAGCATTTATCAACATCTGATTTGTTTGCTGCTATATCCCCAGCACCTCAAATAAGGTCTAGAACACATTTAGTGCTCAAGAAACATCTGTTGCTGAAAGAAACATTTCTTGAATGAGTAAGCAAATCCCAATTTAAATAAGTGATGTCCATTTAAATAAGATGTCCATTACAAGTCTAGTGTCCTATACAATCATCCATTTGCTTTTAAACGATTTGGGTTGAGAAAGGATATTATTTACTTTTTATCTTTTCTTAAAATTTTGAGGTCATCTGACTGTAAACCAAGGTTCTACCAAAGAAGCAAATTAATACTATGTATTATTAAATGTTTAAAGAAAAAAATTACTATAAGATTTACACTGAAAATGGAAAACTGGAGATGCACAGTGTACTCAAACTCTAATGTGATGCTAATAATTTATATTACTTGAAAATCAATATAGCTCATCTCAAAGTGAATTATTTGAGCAAAAGTAAAATCCTAAATCAGATTAACAAATTTTTGTTTGTTTTGTTTTTTGTTTTTTTTTCAGATTAACAAATTTCAAAACAAATATATTAAAAGGAAAAACCATACTGAAATGTTTTTTGAGGGTCTCTCACACCGGGAAACTGAAATTAAAAGAACTACTAATAGACAATAGAATAGATTATATTAAGTTATAACATGGCCCATGGACTACCTCTTACAAACAAAAGCAATATGAAAATATAAAAAATAAATAAGAATAAATAAAGTCACTTATATTTAAATTCACATCTATTGCTTGAGCACACTCTAGCAATGTTTTATGTTTTCTCTCATAAAAGTCTAAAATTTTTAAAATTTTAAATCTGTCTTCTCAAATTCCACAGACAGTAATATTTTACCTGTTCATAGGTCCCAACCTTGAGTGCTGTCTCAGGTGCAATTTTTAAAACATTTACACCATTTCCTCGCCAAAGAGAACGAACTCCTCCTTCTTTTACCATCTGCTTAAACCCATCCAGCAATCTCATTTTCCCTGACTGTAAATTATGAATCTAGAAATAAACAGCAAATTTATCTATTTTAAAATTTATTTTGCTGGTAATACAGCATTGATATTATGACTAATAAAATAATGCTACATATATGTATAAACTTGTGATCTTCAAAATAATTTTCATTTTCCTTTAGAGACATATAAAGTTGATAACATTAATTAGCTGTTGTCTCCAAATACATACTTTAATTTCACATATGAAAAAAAAGAATTAAACAAACAGGTATAACTTAGTTTTTAGAGAATTTTTTCATACACAAGATGTATTGTTGCTGCTAAAATATTACAGGTTCATTAAAGAGTGCGTTGAAATGGATGAAAAATACATCAAACTTTCAATACTCCTGGGTAGAGAGGTGTTATTGGTTGAATTGTGTCCCCTGAAATTCATATGCATGTCAAGTCCCTTCAGGTGTGTCTAACTCTTTGTGATCCTAAGGCCTGTATCCCATCAGGCTTCTCTGCCCATGGGATTCTCCACGCAAGAATACTGGAGTGGGCTGCCAAGCCCTCCTTCAGGGCATCTTCCTGACCCAGAAATCAAACCTGCATTTCTTATGTCTCTTGAATTGGTGGGCAGGTTCTTTACCACTAGCGCTATCTGGGAAGCCTGAAACTTATATCTTTAAGTCCTAATCCTTAGTGTCTCTGAACATGACCTTATTTAGAGACAGACACGGTCTTTACTAGGATAACTAAGTTAAAGTCAAGTCATTAAGTGGGCCCTAAAATCTAATATGACTGATATCCTTACAAAAAGGGAAAATTTGGACACAAGTATGTATGTGTTAGTTGCTCAGTCATGTCCAGCTCTTTGGGACCCCATGGACTGTAGCCCACCAGGCTTCTCTGTCCATGGGATTGACCAGGCAAGAATACTGAAGTGGGTGGCCATTTCCTTCTCCAGGGGATCTTCCCAACCCAGGTCTCCTGCATTGCAGGCAGATTCTTTACCCTCAGCCACCAGTGAAGTCCATCTACAAGCCAAGGGGAGAAACCTGGAACAGATCCCTCCCTCACAGCCCTCAGAAGGCACCAACCCTTCCAACACTTTGATCTTAGACTTCTAGCCTTCATAACTGTGAGACAAATCTCTGTTGTTTGAACCAGTCAGGGGGGATTCCTGGGTGGTGCAGTGGTGATGACTCTGCTGGGGGCCCAGGTTTGACTCCTGGTGGGAGAACTAAGATTCCACAAGCCATGCAGTGTGCCCAAGGATCACAGGTCATTTTAATGTCTTCCTTTATGTTTTCCATATTTTCCCATTTTTCTATGTATTATTTTATAATAAGAAAAATGTTATTTTTAACAAAGTGAAAATTAAAACATTAATACTCTCCTGTCTATAAGAGAACAATAATGAGAGAGCAAAGTGAAATGGGCATTCTCATTTCCTATGAACAGAAAAAGTTCATGTCCATGGGATTTACCAGGCAAGAATACTGAAATGGGTTGCCATTTCCTCTCTCTTCTTCATATATATACACACACACACACACACACACACACACACACACAGCCTTTAAGATATTCACATCAGTACTTAAACTTCTCAGAATTCATCCTAAGTAGGCAACTCTAAATATGAAAAAATTCATAAACCATTATGAATAATAGTTTTAAAATAGCTTTAAATGAGTTTTAAAAATCCCTACATGTACAAGAATAGAAAAAAAAGGTAAGTAAATTATGACATCCATGAGAATACTACATAGTCATTAAAAACTATATTTAAAGAATATGCAAATATTTTAAATATTTGAAGAATATTTAATGTGACATGAAAACATGCTCATGTTAACACAATGAATTAAACAGGATATAAATTAATTATAAAGTAAACACTACTATGTAAAAAAATATATAGGACAAAGGACAAGAAGAAATTTACTCAGTGTTAAGAATGATAATTTTGGATGATGAGAAAGAGAATTTTTCTACTTTCTACTTTTTTACTTTCCAAATATCCATTAGTAAGCACATACTCACTTTATTTAAAAAATACAATTTTTAAAAGACCAAATAAGTGACTATAGAAAGTTGAATGTGGTTTTCCTAAAATGGTAACAGAAATTTCTTAATCTTATTTCTCCACAAAAATGATGGCTCTCATATTTTAAGCACTGATTACAATGACAGGTACAATGCAAAGCACTTTATAAATTTTTTTTTAATTCTTAAAATAACCCTGGCATCATAATCTTCATTTTATAGACCCAATTAAGAGAGATCAAATGACTTTCCCAGCTATAAAGTAAGTAGCAAAGCCAGAATTAAAACCTCGGGCTCTCTGACTCTACAAGAGACCTGCTTTTAAATGACGGTAAACTACTTGTCACCACACAACACACGCCCTTCTTTTGTTCACACTGTTCTTTTCCCGTTGTGTGAAGCTCACAGAGAAATACCTCTATCAATAAAGGAGACAAGTTCTAGTGAACCCATCTCCCTGTCAAATACACGTATGAATGAAAGCCATGAGATCCAAGCCAGAGCAGCCCAAAAAGGGCAGCGGCTTGCCTCCTCTTGCTTCTCATTAGATTACTCTTCTCTTCCATTTCTAACCCATTTTTCATCTATCATACCTTCTCTTCTTTCTCACTTATTTTATTCTCTATTCTTTTCTTTCTTTCAATCTCTCATCCTCTTCGTCCTCCTGTCTATCCAGCCCCCTTAAATCTTTCTCTTTTTTCACTCTTTCTGAAAATACCCCCACTATTTACTCTATACTTTTTCATTCTCCCTAATCCCCTCACCTATTTTCATCCTCTAGGAGAAAATTCATACTCTGTATGTCCACAATACCCATCTATCTGGACTCATAGCAAGTACTCATAAGTTATGATTATTATTTTTCAACAGCACCATCAGCATATAGATTTGTTGTCTACATTTCTGTTAGGTTCTGAAGTATAAGAAAATATGCTTTTAATCCAGCACCAAGCATATTAACAATGGGCACTTAAAATACATATTTATTCTCTTTATTTTCCCTCCGAGTCCCTTTCCCATTTTTTCATCTCCTTATATGTCTCCATTTCTAAGTAGCTCTGTATGGTATCCACATATTTTTCCTTTCAATCTCATTTTTAAATTTTCTACCAGGTCTGGTCACTGAGGAAGCCAGCTCTTCTATTTCTACCTGCAAAAGAGAACTTTCCATTTCTGCTCTTTTCTAAAAGCTAGCTGAATTTAGTCACCTGACAGAATACAATATAGGTTACATACGGAATCAAATGTACAGAAGAATGATAGGTTATTTGCCTTACTGTCTTATACCAATTAAGCCACAGTGTACAATTATAACCATTCAGCTTATTTTCATAGTATCTTGGAAGCAATCAGCTGCTTCCAGATGAAGCTGAACACTTCCTTCCCGGCTACTGGTTGCTCATTCACAGATGTGAATGATGAACACAAATGTCCTACCTTTTGAGGGAAGCATATGGATGAAGAAGTTGCCGCTGATGCTCTGGGAGAAGAATGGGAGGGTTATGTGGGCTGAATCAGTGGTGGGAATGACAAACAAGGTTTTCCTATTAAGCACAGTGGCGTGACCCATGGCCACGTCCACCTGCTACTGAGGAAGAAGCAATCCTGTTATACACCAAAGAAAACTGGAGAAAGGAAGTGAAATCTGTTCAGAGTTGCACTCTGAATGCCAATGTGAGTGTTCTCAACTTGGTTATTGCAAAAATGAGATATTCCTAATACTACTGTGCCTCACTGCCTGGGACACATGTACCCCACCCCACCCCACCCCACCCCCCGCAAAAAACAGCTGAATCCTCAAACGTTTCAGTCACTAAAGAAGATGATGTTCACCAGTATGTTGTCAGAAATCCCCTGAACAAAGAAGGTATGAAACCCAGGACCATACACAAGACTCAGTATCCTGCTGCTCCATGTGCCCTGCGACACAGATACCAGCATAATGCTCTGAAGAAGCAGCATACTAAGGAAAATAAGGAGCAGGCAACAAGAGCATTATGAACTTTTGACCAAGAGAATGAAGCAAGCCAAAGAAAAACAGGAGCAGGCTGCCCAGAGATGGAGGCTGTCCTCCCTGAGGGCCCCATTCTGTAATTCTGAGTCAGTCAAAAATAAGATTTTCTAATATTTTTACTCTTAATTTTTTTTGGCCATGTCGCATGTGGGGTCCTACTTCTCCAACCAGGGGTTAAGCCCACACGCCCTGCACTGGAACTGCAGAGTCTTAATCACTGGGCCACCAGGAAAATCCCCCCAAATAAGATTTTCTGAGTCACAAACAAGCAAAATCATATAGCACCAAAAAATACTAGTCATAATCCATTACCAAATATCACCTATTTACCCAAAAAAGACAATAAAATACCCAGGTACATAAATTTAATTACAAATTTAAATTTACTAGGTTGGGACTGGGCTTCCCTGGTGGCTCAGACAGTAAAGAATCCACCAGCAACGCAGGAGGTGCAGGTTCGATCCCAGGGTCAGGAAGATCCCCTGGAGAAGGACACGTCGACCCACTCCAGTGTTCTGGTCTGGAGAACTCCATGGACAGAGGAGCCTGGTGGGTGTAGTCCATGGGGTCGCAAAGAGTTGGACACGACTGAGCGACTAACACTTACTTACTTACTTAGATTGTGTATTATTAATTTTGTATCATCGTAAAGAAAGTATTCAGCAAATATTACATTTAAAAAGAATTTTTTTGGCCACAGGGCATGTGGGGTCTTAGTTCCCCAACCAGGGATCGAACCCACACCCCCAAATTGGAAGTAGGGAATCTTAACCACTGGACTTCCAGGGAAGCTTGGCAAATATTAACTTTTAATTGACACTTAACAGATTAAAATTAAACCATGCACTATTTTATAAGTACTGTTGACAATCTATTAATCAGTAAAATAAAATTAGACAATATTACCTCTAAACAGATACTAGTCAGTAACACACTCCTAGTAACTTATTTTCCAATTCTTAGAAATACCATTAGTACTTAAGTAGATTAGAACCATGTTATTATGTTAAGTTTCAGGGGCTCGAGACACCTAATAAGTTAGACTAATGGTATGTCTTAACACTTCGTTCATAGATTCAGTTATAATCCTGAGAAAAAATATCTAAGAGTGGTTCTATTATTATTTCAAATAAAAATTAATTTTAAAAGTATTGGAAAGAAAATTAAGGCACCTTTTAATATTGAAAAGAAGAAAATTTATGTTTTCATAAAAATTGTAAAACTTCAGGGAGAAGTAGTATGAAATGTGCCAAAACATTTCTTTTGAAAATTATCAAGATTTTTTTCAAGTTACTTTAATGCTTAAGGGCTAAAGTGCAAACTACCTGCATCATGACCTTCAAGCGGTCAAAAGGTGCCGTGCACGTCCTTGAAACTCCGCCGGCTATCCCTCCTGCTACCAAGCGCTTCCACCAATTTCCAGAACGTTTTTCTTGATCAGTAATGTCATCTGGAATAGCTATACTCTCCCCTATGTCAATCATCTAATAAAACGTAAAACAGAATTAGACAGTCAAGTGTAAATACTTGATAAGTAAAAGGATAACTCTGTACAAAGACCAAAAACCCAAAGATTATTTTTCATATCTCACCTCCTATTAATGAAGATTGACAATATCCTTAGCACTTGTACTAGACCAAATAATTTCTAATAGCACATTCATATATTGATTTAATGTAATATCCCAACTGGAGGTTTTAGTTTTAAATTCTCAAGCTATTTAGAGAATTCTCAAATATTAGACTAATCTCCTTCATGAAAAATCTAAACATTCCATGCAGGGATGATGTTCTAGTTATGCAACATAGTGTCTGCCACACAGGAAATAAGGAATAAATGCTTAAATTTTTTTCTCTATTTTATTTCAAGTTCTCTCAGATTACACTGTGCACTTACTTAACCTGAGTCAAAATTCAAGAGTAGCATTTTATATGTTTTCATTTCTTTCTCTATTATTTACATTGACTCTTCAAATGTCAGTTTTCTTTTTAAAAATCTGAACTCTAACAAGTTTTGCATTTCACTTTATTTTCAGTTATTATACATGATTTTGCTAAGACTATACATTTTTGCTAAATGTTGAGGCAGTGTGGTTCAGTAGGAAAAGGGCCAAATTGGAGCTAGGTTCCATTACTTGTCAATCATAGTGTGTGTGTGTTAGTCGCTCAGTTGTGTCCTACACTTTGCAATCCCATGGACTAAAGCCTGCCAGACTCTTCTGTTTATGGGATTTTCCAGGCAATCATAGTGAGCAAGTCCTTCTCTGCTTCTCAGTTTTCCCATCTTCATTTATTCATTCATTGAGCACCCTCTTTCCAAGCACCATCTCACCTCAATGCCTTTGTTTTTTATTTTCCCCCTGCCTAGAACATTTCTCCTTGGCTCTTTCCATTGCTTCTTTCCTAATATGTAGCACAATCTTAATTAGTTCATTTCTATTGCGTGTTTTTTCCTCCAGAAGGTAAGCCTAATAAGAGCATCAAACTGGTCTGTCTTGTGCATCGATAAACCTAGCATCTTGGTCAGGGGAGATAACAGTGTTCCCTAAGTGGTGGTTGAATTAGTGAATTAAAGTCCAGGGCCCTGGGCTACATATCAGTAATGTAATGGTGCAGAAATCAGTTTCTGCCCTTTAGTCCTGAATATTCATTGGAAGAACTGATGCTTTTGAACTGTGGTGTTGGAGAAGAATCTTGAGAGTCCCTTGGACAGCAAGGAGATCCAATCAGTCCATCCTAAAGGAAATCAGTCCTGAATATTCACTGGAAGGACTGATGCTGAAGTGGAAGTTCCAATACTTTGGTCACCGATGCAAAGAGCCAGCTCATTGGTAAATGTCGTGAAGTTAAGAAAGATTGAAGGTAAAACGAGAAGGGGGTGGCAGAGGATGAGACAGTTAAATAGCATCACCAACTCAATGGACATGAATTTGAATAAACTCCAGGAAATAGTGGAGGACAAAGGAGCCTGGAGTGCTGCAGTCCATGGGATCACAAAGAGTCTGACACAACTTAGTGATTGAACAAAAAGAAAGAAGCCTAGTAAAGCAGATAGTTTAAGGTTGGAGTGATCAACCAAATCAAACACAACTGAGAGGTCAAGTAAGCTGAGATGTAAGAATGGATGACTGGAGTTGGAACATGGAGATCATTGCTTCAGAAGTCACTGAAAAGAAAGCTCGTAAAGTTTCAGGTCAGAATGGGGTCCAACAAAAGATTTTCAAAATCATTCAAATTAAAATTACAATGATATTCTACTTAATATTAACAAAATTGTCCAAAATTCTAGTCAGATAATAACAACTACTTGCAAGCATATAGAGCAAGAATAATTTTAATCCATCACTGGTGAAAACAAATGGTACAAAAATTTTGGAAAATACTTTGGTGCTACCTAGTGAAAGTAAATACTCTACAAAACAGCAATTCCATTCCTGTGTATATGCCCTGTATTCCTAGAAAAAGTCTTATTCATGTACACCAGGAGACATACACAAGAAAGCTTATTGCATCATTATTTATAATGGCAAAAATCTAGAAACGACATGAATGTTCAACAATTGTGAAACTGATAAATAAAGAAATATATATATTTCTTTATTTATATACATATATATATTCATACACTGGCATACTATATGAGAGAAAATGGATAGAAGACAGTTACAAACATCAACATAGTTTAATCTAAATAAATATAATGTTAAAATACCATATACAGTTTAAAATAGGCAAAATCAAATAATATGTTGCTTATACATACATACTTAGGTGCTAAAAGAAGTATAAAGAAAAAGGAGAAAAATGGTTTGTAGAAAATTCAGTATATTGGTTAACTCTTGGTGAAAGTAGAGGCATATGACTGGGGAGGACACAAAGGGTTTTAAAGTAAGGAGAATGCCTATTTCTTAACCTGGTAGTGAGCACATTAGGGTTAATAATACAATTTCTAATTGTATTTATGTTATTTATTCTTTTTTGTATTTGCGCTGTTTATGTCACAATAACAAAGAATTTTATAAAAACAAAAAAACGTCCACACTGACTTCCACACCATTTGGCATGTGTTACTGCCAGACCAACTCTTACTTTCAGACAAAGGCACTGAATTGTGACAGAAGAAGTCTTGGTTTTGTGAAATAGCAAAAAAGAAAAATAGAAATGGATGATGTGATGACAGTTTAAATAGACACTTTAGAAAAGAGCTTCAGTGAAAGAATGCAGAGATATGGGCAGTCACTAGAAGAGGAGGCATGGTCAAGGGTGTATTTTTAAATGGGAGAAATTGTAGTGTTTTTGTACGCTTATGGGAATGATACAGCAGAGATGCAAAAATTGATTGTGATTGAGACTACTGTTCAACAGACCCTATTCTTTTTGTTTTGTGACAACCCAGTCACATCCACATTCTGCATTTTGCCTGGGTAAATGGCCACCCAAATAGAAACCACATTTCCACACTTCCCTAGGAGCTTGTGTAGACACTAGTCTAGATTTTGGCCAGTTAGTTATGAGCAGAGTAAATATGTACAACCTCCACTTCACATCCTTAAAAATGAAGCAATGACCCAGCTTCAAATATGTATATGAGAACAACATCTTGGGGAACAGAAAGAACCAGTGGATTTCTCAAGGCTTTCGTGAAACAGAGGTACCCTATCAGCTTAAGAAAGCCTTAGTATTACACAAATAAGAAATAGATTTCTATCTATTTAAGTCACTTATTTATTAACATTCTTTGGGATGTTGTTGCTATAGTTTCTTATCTCTCATACTGATGATGCAAGAGAGAGGGAACAATGACAGGAGTAAAGTAAATGAGAGGAATCCGATCCAATGCCCAGGTAAAGCACTTGACATAGGAAGTCTTCAAATATATCACACCAGAAAAATGATATCAATGAGATAGGAAGATTTATGCTGTAGAGAGGGGGCCAGGGAGAAATCCTTTGCAGATGGGTCTAAAGGAGAGAGGAGCAAAGCATATTGATAACAGATAACACACTCTACTTCACTGACATATTCCAGTGCTATAACTCAGAATTTTGAGGCATCCAGGAAATGTCAGAAAGCATCTCTTTGCCCACGGTATTATAAAACAAATAGATACTATTAAGTAGTTACGTGTGTGCTAAGTGGCTTCAGTCGTGTCTGACTCTTTGCAACCCTAAGGACTGTAGCCCGGCAGGCTCCTCTGTCCATGGAATTCTCCAAGCAAGATACTGGAGTGGGTCACCAGGCCCTCCTCCAAAGGATCTTCCCAACTACTTAACAAGGGCTTCCCAGGTGGCACTAGTGGTGAAGACCCAGGGTCTTTCTTTACCTTTCATCAAATTGTATAGTTTGCAATATATTAAGGTGATGGTATTATAGTAACAAATAACACATTCTGGTTGTCAAGTCCTTATTTTGTGTCAGAGGCTATTCTAAATTAGTGGTCTGTTAATTAATTTAATGTAATAACTAATGAGAAACCTCATAAATCATGTAATTTTGGAGAAGATGGTGAGTGGGCCCTGAGACCAACACCTCTGCTGATAATCTGCTGAAGCATAGGTTTTGTAGAGGTGACATTCTAAGCAAATGCACATTTGTTTATTACGGTAGTTCAAAAAGAATTCAACAGTATATTAAAAAGATCACATACTCCAATTGCTGCTGCTGCTAAGTCACTTCAGTTGTGTCCGACTCTGTGCGACCCCACAGACGGCAGCCCACCAGGGTCCGCCATCCCTGGGATTCTCCAGGCAAGAACACTGGAGTGGGTTGCCATTTCCTTCTCCCGTACTCCAATTAAATGGGATTTATCTCTGGAATGCAAGGATGTTTAAGCATACACAAATCAATAAATATGACACATCACACTAACAGAATAAAGGATAACAATTAGATCGTCTTAACAGATGCACAAAAGCACTTGACAAAATTCAGTATCCTTTATGATTTGTTGTTGTTCAGTCATTCAGTCATAGCCGACTCTTTGCAACCCCATGGACTGCAGCATGCTAGGCTTCCCTGTCCTTCACCATCTCCTGGGAGCTTACTCAAACTCATGTCCATTGAGTCAGTGATGCCATCCAACCACCTCATCCTCTGTCAATCCCCTTCTTCTCCAGCTTTCAGTCTTTCCCATTATCAAGGTCTTTTCCAAAGAGTTGGCTCTTCACATCAGGTGCAAAGTATTGGAGCTTCAGGTTCAGCATCAGTCATTCCAATGAATATTCAGGACTGATTTCCTTTAGGAGTGACTGGTTAGATCTCCTTGCAGTCCAAGGGACTCTCAAGAGTCTTCTCCAGCATCACAGTTCAAAAGCATCAATTCTTTGGTGCTCAGCTTTCTTTATGGTCCAGCTCTTACATCCACATTTGACTACTGGAAAAACAATAGCTTTGACTAGATGGACTTTTGTTGCAGTAATGTCTCTGCTTTATAATAAGCTGTCTAGGTTTACCATAGCTTTTCTTCCAAGGAGCAAGTGTTTTT